ATAAACCAGTTGCCCAAGGATGGGGTGAGTATGGTGTAGAAAGCTTCTGCAAAGAGGCTAAGGAAAGATGTAGGAGTGACAGGTATATTCACTACCTTCATTGGGCGAGTCAGGACTTGCCCGATTGTACACTTTTAATATGGAGAGCTTAATTACCTCAGTTAAAAGGGAAGCTGTTTAAAAAACCAAAACAAATAACAAAAAATCTCATTACGCTAGATCCTTAAACCTATGCATTTCAAAAAAAAAACTATGCATTTCATTGTATATCAATTATTTCCCAAGTACTTTCTTTTTAAAAAAAGAACTCCAAGAATGGGCCTGGAGTTCCTCTGATGGCCCCCAGAATCTAGAGCCCGAGATACAGCCCACCAGTTTGGGGCTGGTCCCTTCCCCTCCCCAGGAGCCTCAGCAGGTCCGACGTCCGTGGTTCTGTTCAGTCTGTAAGTGGAGGAGTGAAAGCAGTCCCCGGCAAACAGCAATGGCAGATGGTGAAACCAGACCAGATGGCCCATGCAAAGCCCGGGGCGAAGCCTGAGCCACTTTAAGTTCCATTCCTCGCTCCCTGGGTGTTTGCACAGCAAAGAACCTGTGGGGCTCACAGGACTGATGGTGGCATTGGGCCGGGAGGCGAGGCAATGACAATATTGACACTGGCCTGCCTGGGTTCTTGCTCAGGCTGTTGGCATGAACTGGGACACGAGGCGGCCAGTGTCTTGCTGGTGCTGGTAACGGAAGGCTGCGACAGCTACTGCTCTGATCTGAAAGGTCGGGATCCTGGCTCTGTGTGACCTTACGGCAAGCAACGTCCCCGCTCTCTGCCTCAGTTTCCTCACTTGCAAAGTCCAAGGGACCGTCCCAAGTCCCTGGGGTGGTTGTGAGGATGAGAGAAAATGAAATGCCAGGGACAGAGCTTTGCACGAGTGCCTGGCATGGACTAAACACCAAAACCCAGCCAAACTCACTACCATCAAGGTGGTGCCGACTCACAGCGACCCTGTAGCATGGAGTAGATCTGTGCGTTTCCAAGACTGTAACTCTTTACAGGCGTAGAAAGGCCCATCTTTCTCCTGAGGATCAACGGGTGGTTTTGAACTGCTGACCTGGCAGTTAGCCGTCCAGTGAGTAACCACTATGCCGCCAGGGTTTCTAGATGCCCAATAAACACTGGCTATTAGTTACAGTCCCGAGTACAGTGATCGGAGTCCCTGGGTGGAGCAAGTCGTTCAGTATTCACCTGCTAGCTGAAAGCTTGGCAGCTGAAACACAGCCAGGTGCTTGAGAAACCCGGCCGGCCGTCGGCTTCTGAAATCACAGCGCTGACAACGCTCAAGCAGTTCCGCACCCACGGGCTGCCAGGAGTCAGAATCCACTCCGTGGCCACCACAACCCTTCCAAGCCCACTGCCAGCGGGTCCATTCCCACTTGCCGTGACCCTATGGGACAGAGTAGAACTGCCGGGGTGGGTGGGTGGGTGGGGTTCCGAGACTGTAACTCTGGCGAGAACAGAAAGCAATGACAACTACCGTTCTTGGTTTTCACCCCTTGACACCCTCTGTCTTTAGGATAACGCACGTGGCAAGTGATGCCCGCCCACATGCAGTGCCCGCTCACCACTCAGGCTGCCTCCTGCCTTCCTCCCCATGCTCTGGCCCCTCGGGGCTGCTGGGCGAGTCAGCACGGTCAGCTCCGTGCCTGTGTTTTCCTGGCCCTGTGGCTCAGGGTGACCTTCTGCGCTGCCTTGGCCTCTGGACGTTCTCTCGCTCTTTGAGCTCAACTCGAACATGCTTCCTTTTCCAGGGAGGCTGGCTCCCCGGCTCTGTCGCTGGAACGAAAGACACCCCAGGAGCCCCCACAGCTCCTTGCTCTCATGGTAGCTGGAGAGAAACCCAGCAACTGAAGCCAGAGGATCCCAGGGTGCCCCTGGGCGCAGCAAGGCCAGGCAGGTGACATTGTGGCTGTATCCCGGCGGCCTCTGCTTGGCCCCCTCAGCCCTGCTGTCTGGCTGACCCACCCCAGTGTGAGGGCATCTCCTCGTGTCCTAGGATCCGGGTCTCCAGGTATCACACCACTGACCTGAAGGCTAGCAGCACCACTCCAGAGCCTGGCACCCTGCTCAGCCCTGAGCAGGTTCGCAGACACTGCTGGATGGATGAGGGGGAATGAGCTGAGCTCTCCGGTCTCTCAGACATTTCAGTTCAAAGCTCACAAGGGACTGGCCCACACATGGTCAACTTGATTCACGCCAGTGGTGGTTGAGGAGCCCTGGAGGTGTAGTGGTTACACATTGGGCTGCTAATCTCAAGGTCATCAGTTCGAAACCACCAGCCGCTCCTCAGGAGACAGACAGGGCTTTCTACTCCCGTCAATAGTGACAATAGGGTCACTAGGAGCCGGCAGGAGTTGTTGTGTGAGAGGGGGCATGTGCTGGAGTAGTAATCACCATCATAAACAAGGGCCTTACACAGGGCGTTCTGACCCCAGAGGTCTGCTGGCTGTGGTAGTTACATAATCTGGGGCCAATTCGAGAGGATTATGAATCCAGGGGTGGAGTCTGGCCTGTCAATCAAGATATAACCAATGAGGCCTCTGGGTGGGCATGGCCTTCTCCTGAGAATTCTGGGAACTCCTGCATTTCCCCCCTGGAGGCAGAAGACACTTCTCTCTCTCCGTGCTCACTTCCTGGAAGACCCTCTACTGACAAGACACATGACACTATGCCCTGGGAGCTGGAGAAGCCACATGGACCTACCCTGAAGCAACCAGACCACTGGAGCCGGAGAAGCCACGTAGCGACCCCTGCCAGTGCTGAGATGCTAACAATGCCACTGGATCCACAAGACTTCCAACCCAGTGGCCTGTGATCCTCCTGCATTCGGCATCATTGCCTGTGTTTCGTGAGTCTGAAGAGGACTTTATGGACTGGTATTGGACCTATGGGCTAATATCTGACTGATGGACTTGATCTGGACTGGGCGGGGACGTTTTCTCAATATTCAACTGCTCTTGTCCATAAAGCTCTTTCCTATACACACAGGAGTGTCTCGATGAACTTGTTTCTCGAGTCCACCCAGACGCACACCCTGGCGAAGTCGTTACGAGTTGGGTCGCTACCCAGATGGGTAGCCATCTCAAACCACCAGCCAGCAGCTCCTCGGGAGACAGAGGAGGCTTTCCACTCCTGTCGAGAGTTGCAGTCTCAGAAACCCACCGGGGCAATTCCACCCTGGCCTATCAGGTCAGTGTGAGTCAGGATCAACTCCATGGCAGTGGGGTGTGTTTGTTTGCTTTGAGAAAACAAACAGCTGGGCCCAGATCCGAGACGGCAGCCGGGCACAGGGCACAGACGGTGTTGCTTTCCAAAAGTCCTGTCACACTCCTTCCTCCCGAAAGTTCCTGGAGATCGGATGATTGGCAGGGCCCTGGAGGGCAGCACACACTCAAACCAGCTTGAGTGAGTCACCACTCTGTCTCATAAATCAAAAGCCTGTCTGCCCGCTGCCATCGACTTGATAACAGCTCGCAGCAACTCCATAGGACAGAGTAGAAGTGCTCCCCGGGGTTTCTGATGCTTTAAGCCTTTATGAGAGCACCCATCCTCATCTGTTCCCGGGGAGAGAGTTCACACCATTGACCTGATGGCTAGCAGCCCAGTGCTTAACTCACTGCACCACCAGCCATCTTACTCAGGCCAAATATACCAGCGAACTGATGTGGTCGCTATGCAGTGTACACGGGGCCCTTCCTTACGATGGCAGCTACTGAGCTGTTTTGCCCTCATTCGAACCCCTGGGACTAGTTGCACTACGACCCAGAGTATGAATGCCCCGGAAGTCTCCGAGGCCTTTGCTTGTCTGGAGCACATCTCCAGGATCTGCTCACATGGTGGCCAGGCGGGTCTGAACCTGCTACCTCTTGGTTAGCAGATAAGCGCTTAACCAAGCACCTAACCATTGTACCCTGGGCTCCTTACTTTCCGACGGGGGTGGGGGAGAAGGTAAGAGAGGGGGAGGCTTTGTATCTCTCTGTCCCTTAACTGGAGCCTTCTAGATAGCAGATTCTAAGTCTGTCCTCTGGAATAGGGGTAGGGCATGTTCTTTATCTATTGATTCATTTACTGTACATGCAAGGCTCACATATATTTTAAAAGGCATTCTGATCGTAAGGTCAGGTGGTGCTTGTTGTTTTTATTATCCCATGCAGACTCCGCCCCTAGCCAAGGTCTCGTCGTCACTCTCCAGCACAGCCTTTGCTTGTGATCCTGAGCAAATCACGGTGTGTGTCCTCTTCTGTCTAACGGACAGCTCCATCTTGCCTGCCTGAGGGTGGTGAAGGCGAGACAGCTCGGTCACCTAGGCTCCAGGGCCAAAGTGCAGTGTCTGGACCATTGAGCTCTATAGCTGCTATGGGCCGGAGTGGTGGCGGGAGGATGGGGATTGGGGTGGGCCGAGCTCGGAGCCTCCTGGGATGGCTTCCCACTGGCTGGATGACAGATAACTAAGCACTTGTCTCATAAGCACTCTCACACGATCGACCTGCGAGGGCCTGCTAGGTGAACTCAGGAAAATGCTAAGGTTGCGGCCAAACCCAGCATGGCTGATAAGCACTGTCTGGCTTAGATGCCGAAGGGGCAACAAGTGACATGCATTTCACCGGGGTGCCATCCCAAAGGGTGAAACGCTTCTACTTGGTGTTTAAACCCCAGACCTGCTGCCCGCCCCCCAGGGGTGAAAAAAGCATGATTCACGGAGGCAGAGGGAGCAGGTCCCCACTGTGTAGAAGCTGCTCTCGAAGCAAGGGGTCCCCTGTCTTTGTCGGGAGCTGCGTACCGCGGTGGTGAGCCCACAGCAGACAGTGTGAGGCCGAAGCTGGCGAGGCCATTTGTGTTCAGAGAAGGTCCACAGGCCACATTCCCCGCTCACAGGCTCCTCCCCCTCTCATGTTCCAGCACTGGGTGCCCCGGGGAAGCATGTTCAATATCATTCCATCCCACCTCCTTCTCAGGGACCGGGGCAGGAGAACTCGTCGGACCAGTCGGAGCAGTGCTGCACACGGTCCCGGCAGAGCGTCCTTGGGATGCAATCGCAATACTTGAAGACAGTCGGGGTGCAGCGCCACCACCCGGGGCCACAGGAAGGGCACACGGTCACTAGGGAGACAGGAGCCAGCTGGTGTGTCCCCGCATGCCCTGTGCACCAGGGCACTGCCTCGCTCACTGGTGACCCTCCCACAGCGCCTCAAAGCCCTCCTGTCCGACTGGGGTTGAGCATTTCCCCGAGGGCCTCTGTTTCCTCGGGTGCTCAAGGTTGTTCCAGCGTAAAGGGAGGCAGGCCAAATGCCAGGCACGGTCAAGAATGAATAGTCATGTGTGCAGATCTTTTTTTAAAAAACGGGATCAAGAAAGGGCTGCAGATTTGGAGTCTGGACACCAGAGTTTACACCAAAAGTTCCCAAATGTATTTAGCCAGCCAATAGAAAAAAAAAAAGGGGGGGGGAAAGTACTTAATGCTCCTAGCAATTCAACAGTTTTGTCCGATAGCCCATAATCCAGGAAAAGGTGGAGGTGTCTGTCTTCTCAGCCCTCCGGATCGTTCCAGTGCCCCCAACGCACCCCACTGTGGGAGACACTTTGATGCCTTAGTTATTTTCCTATCACTCACTGTACTAGGGCCCTTCTCTTCCCCGAGCCTCGGTTTACCTACATATAGATAGGGGACACTGATTTCTGTCCGGCTTCCCCAGCAGAGGGTGGGAGGTGCATAAGAGATGAGCGAGAACCAGGTTGCAGGCCACCATTTGGCCTCAGGTACCCCATGTGTCCTTGGAGGGAAATTGCCCACCCAAGGAGCAGCCGGTAGGCGGTACTTGGTGCGGCAGTGAGCACACCACCATTGGAAGCATTCAAGCAGGGGTGGGATGCTCTTCCAGGGTTGTAGGAGGCATCTGGCAGATTCTTTGGGCCATGGCCTGACTACCTTCCCCAGCCAGCCTGTGCTCAGACACCCACCTGGGCTTCGCTCATCCGAGCAGTCCCCACAGTTGTTGGTGCCGTCACACCTTTGGTCTGAGTAAATCCAGGAAGCAGGGTCTCCACAGTGGGCCACCAGGAAGGCGGGGAGGCTCCGGGGCACATCTCCTACAGAGGGACAGAGGAGGCAGGAGCCAGTACACATCTGGCCACACCTGACTCTGGAGGTGGACCATCCTGACCACCCAGGTCATGGCCAAACTGTGCGTCACCTCCCATTCATTCCAGGATCTCCTGGAAGAGTCTCGAGGAGAGACGTGCTCTTTTCCTGTGGACCCACTGTGCACACAGAGCCCAAAGAGATGCCTCTCACCTTCCCATCCCCTTCCCAGTCCTCGTGAATCTATCCCCACCCTGAATGGCTACATCCACCACCCCTCCCTCCCAAACTGTCAGGAAGCCTCCTCCAACTGGAACAGGGGAGAAGAGAGATAAAGTCCTACACGCGGGCCTCAGAACTCGGGGATCTCATCTTGTGAAGGGGAGTCAGAAGACCCTCCTTGGAAGGGGTTCTATGTTAGGCAGTTGTACAACAGGGTCATTAAAAACTCTAATATCAACTCAGGGCTTATCACTAGAGGTATACAGCCCAGGTCAGGGAGGAGAGATGACTTGGTTGCTTGGACTGGCCAGACCCAGACAGAAGTGTCCTGGAAGTTTCTGGAGCTTGTCCAGGGAGAGGCACATGCTGCTACTATCCGTTCTGGGCAGGACTTTGAACTCTTTCAAACCAGTTCAGATATGGTCAACCAAGTGAGACCAGAGCAGATCCAAAAATTTTACATGTAGGCCATCTGGAAATGCTAACCAGAATGGGGAAAATCACGGGTCCAATCCCTGGAATGAGAGGCTCTGAAGAGACCCAGCGAGCACTTTCGGGGTGTGATAGGGAAGATTGGATTACTGTCAGGCCAATGGAGGGAGAGGAGCGTACTGTCAGGCCGGTTGAGGGAGAGTCTCAGGTCCATGATACAATGACTCTCTCCCCACCAGCACCCCCTGCCTGCCTGCCCATGGGACTGTCTCCCTTCCGTGGGTCCAGGCACTAACTTATGCTGCTATCGGTCCATGTGGCCCTGCCTCCTTTCTCCTCAGAACAGTCATGTCTCTGAGTTCTGGGACCAGTTCTCCTCATTCATTCACTCATTCATTCATTCATCCATCTATCCATTCACTCATTCATGCAGAAAACTGGCCTGGAGCTACTCCCCCTCCTTCTGTGTCCTGTCCCAGGCACTTGACCCCCAAGATCAACCAGACTAGCTCTATCCCACAGGAGCTCAGCCTGGTGGGAATGACAGATGTGCTAATCGAGCTTGATAACCAGTATGACAAGCACTGTGACCAGGGCTGGCCCTGAAGGAATAAGAGGGGTCATGGGAGCTCTGTGTGTGTGTGTGTGTGTGTGTGTGTGTGTGTGTGTGTGTGTGTGTGTTGTGGTGGTGGGGGTGTTACTAGGGAAGGCCGTCTCTTGAGGTCTTGCTTGAAGGGTGCGTGCGGTTTCTCCAGGCATGAAGATGAGCATCAGGAGGACATCCCCCTGAGTGGGCGTGTGCGTGCGCGTGTGCGTGTGTGCGTGCGCGCGCGCGTGTGCTTGGGACTGGGTGGGGTGACTGTTCCCAGCAGAGGGCACCGTCTTGGCAAAGGTGTGGGCACGCGGAGGTGCCTGGGATGTTCAGAGCCGGCCTGGGTGTGGGGTGACGGCAGGGGACGTAGGAGCCCGCGGGGACCCAGTGGGGCGGGCGCTCACGGCACAGGCTCTCATCCTCGTCATCCCCGTGGGCACAGGCTCGGACCCCATCACACACGCTGCTGGCTGGGATGCACGTCCTCCGGTCGTGGCATAGGAAGCCCGTCCTGTTCGTCGGGGTCACACAGGCTCGGGCCCCTGGGGAGAGGAGAGGCACCCAAGGGTCAAGGGTGATGCTGCCTGGGCATCTCCGGGGTGGGGGCGCTGCCCTCAAAGCTGCGCAGAGGCTCTCACCTGAGCCAAGCTGAGGTGCCAGGGGTGTGGTTTAAGCCCCACTCTACTGCAGGCCAGCTGTGTGACCTGGGGCAGATAACCTAGCCTCTCTGAGCCTTAGGTTCTTGTCCGTAAAGTGAGCACACACCCCGCGGGATTGTTGAGGAAGTGGATACGATTCCCGGTAGAGAACCTAGGAGCACAGAATGCACGGGAACCGGCATTGGAAGTCGGGTTTCTGTCTCCCAAGGGGTCTTGGTGGGGGGATGGGGGAGTTCCCTGGCACTGGGTGAGGGACTCAGGAGTGTTCTATTCAGACTGACGGGCGACGTCACGTCAGGATCCCTGACAGCTGGGCACGAGCACTGCCCAGGCTGCCAGGCACTGCCACCCTGCTGTCCTACTGTGTTCTCAAAGTGTCGCCACAGCCCCACTTGACAGATGAGAACGCAAAGCTCAGATGGGCAGAGCCCCTAACCCAAGCCCGCTGGCCCAGTGCTCTGTCCCGCGGGTGTGCCCAGCCAGCTGCAGATGCCGGTCCGGTCCCCTTCCACCTCCGCGGGTTGTGCAGGGACATGCCCCTGAGGTCGGCGGACAATGAAAGGGGAGGCCCGGGCAGAGGGCGGGTGAGCACCTCGGCTTTGCAGGTTGAGCCTGCTGCACGCCTCTCCTCTGTTCCCTCCCGGGGCTGCCTCGGCAGGCGTGGGGGCCAGCTCTCGGAGACGCTCATGTCACACACAGACACACAGGCATGCAGTGGGACACACATGGACACGCATAGGCGCATCCCCCACAGACCAGATGAAGGCAGACACACACAGACCCCGTGAACGCAAGCCCTCCGTCACAGCAACCTCAGCGCCATGCACCTGCCCAGGCCCGCAGAGTCCCCTCTGAGGGTTTGTCCCCCCACCCGCCGGCCTGGCTGGGGGACCAGCTTCTAGAGCAGCGGTTCTCCACCTGTGGGTCTCGACCCCTTCACAGGGGTCGCCTAAGACCATCGGAAAACACATATCTCCGACGACAGTCTCAGGAACCGAGACACCACTCCTCTATCCCTCTTCCAGGTGGGTCCGCCCACACGCAGACCGCCCACATACGATTACCCGGCTTGAAGACTGACCCTTGCTACACACCGTGCTTCAAGACAAAATTTCATTTTATTTGTCCTTAGAAATAAATATTTCACAGTATAGAGTTAGATATTGTTTTTGTGATGAATCACGATGCTTTAATAATGTTCAATTTGTAATAATGAAAATACATCCTGCATATCAGACATTTACATTGCAATTCATAACAGTAGCCACATGACAGTTAAGAAGTAGCAACAAAAATGATTTTATGGTTGGGGGTCACCACAACATGAGGCACAGTCTGAAAGGGCCCAGCCTGGGGAAGGCTGAGAACCGCTGTAATCTAGGGGGTCTCTCTGGTGACGTGATGACTGGACTGTCCCCCTTCCCGTGGCACCCTTCCCAGGGCGCCCTTTAGGCCCCTCCTGCTGCTCCAGCCCTCCCCATCCACCCTCCTTCCTGCAGCTGCTCTCTCCCACCTCGGGGACTCCTCACATGCCTTCCTGTCAACCCCCTAGCTAACCCCACTTTGCCGCAGGACTGGGTCAGAGTCCTTGATCCAGAGGCTCCAAGCCCCGCCCGCCCTGCCTTTGGTTAGCATCTGTCTTGCTTGCTCAGAGAGGGAACCATGCTGGGACGGTTTGTCCCTGAAGCCAAGGCCACCTTGAATCAGGTTGAATCAGACAGGTCCCCTTCTCTGACCTGGAGAAAAGACACACCGTCCAGAGTGGCGGGGCTCCTGGAAGAGGAGGTTCTAGGGCTGTGGGGACCAAGATGAGGTTTCTCACCCAGCACAGGGGTCAGGAAAGCTGGGCCTTACAGCATGACCAGGATTCTGTAAAAAAGCCCCTTCACAGAGGTGCACATGGAGGTTCAGAAACAGATGTGCACTGTGTCTGTTTAGGAACTGTCCCAAAGTCACTTGCCGGAGTAGCTGGGTGGGAAGGTCCCCCCCATCGCTCTGCCCCTTCCCCTCCCCCCAGCAGGCCTGGCCCACCCTCCCTTGACCACCCTGACCTGGCTCGCGTGGTGGGAGTCCAAGGATGGCCACCAGGGTGACGAGGGCCGCCAGAGTCGCCAGCAGGAGCAGAGCAAAGGCCGAGAGGCAGGCCCTGTGGCGCGAGCAGCAGGGTGGGCCGCAGCCCGCTGTGTGGGGAGGAAAACAAGCCCAGGGAGCACAGTGAGGGGCCGGGACTGCCCACGGCCCCATCACCACATGCAGGAGGCTCCTCCCGGCTAGGGGATGGGAAGGCATCCCTCAGGGATGATGCTCTTTGGTTCGGTTGATGGAGCGAGCTCCAGGGTCAGACCAGATCCCAGGTCCCTGCTCTACAGCCCATGCCCTTGCCATCCCTCCAGGAGGCTGCCCCCCACCCCCAGAAGGCAGGGAGACATGGGCACCTGCCTATCAAGCGCCTCTCATGGGGCAGAAACCACACCAGGCCTCTCAGAGCGGTGATTTTTATGTTTACAAGTATCTTTCCTTTCCTTTCTTTCTGAGGAAACTGAGTCAGAGAAGTGACCGGGTGCCGCTGGGTCCTGCTGGGCAGAGCTAGCACACCCCAGGTCTGCTCAGCACCCAAGCCTGGCCTCTTTCCAGAGTCCAGCTGATGGTCCATTCCAGGACAAGTCAGATCCCAGACCTGCACCCTGGCTGACCACAGGCCCGGTGGTCGGTGTGGTGGCCACTCAAGGCACTTCATGCACAGAGGTCAACGTTTTGTCCGTGGCTACCAAGGGCCGGCAGAGGTGGCAGCGTGAGTTATGAAGGGCGCCGCGTTTCTGGAAATAATTTGGAAACCAATAGTGGCGATAGGTGCACAGCATGATCGAGGGAGTTCTGGTCCCTGCAGTGTACACTGGAAAATGGTCAAGCAGCAAATGGTTAGGTAGACGTGTGGTTGTTTCTGCTAGGCGCCGCTGAGTCCATCCATCTGAGCGCACCAGGACGCCACGTGACCCCGTGGGGCTTCTCCGGCTGTGATCTTGGTCTCTCGCGTGCGCTGCTGCTGAGCAGGTTGAAACCTCCCACTATTTTACCACGATACAATGATCATCGTGAAAGGAGGGCAGATAAAGATGGCCGGAAGTCAGGATAAGATTCCCCGAGGCTCCAGGGGGGACGTGGGTGGGGGTAGGGGAGAGGGGCTGGCGATGTCCGGTGAAAGGCCTGTGGGCTGCTGGTGCTGTGTGCAGTCCACTGATTCTGACTCCTAGGAACCGGACACCGGACGGGGTGGGGGAACGGAGTAGAAGCGCCCCAGAGGGCTGAGCTTCGGAGATAGACCGTCGGTCTTTATGGGAGCGCAGACACCACAGCTGTCCTTCCAGGGAGTCCCTGATGGGTTTGAACCACAGACCTTTCAGTCAGCAGCCGAGTGCTTCACCATTGTGCCAGCAGGACCCCGGTGGTGGGGCGGCTCTCTGGGTGCATCTGGCTTGTGAAAAACGCATCGTCTAGCTGGGCACTTGTGGCTCTCTGCAGGGTGTTGGGTGTACTTTGAGCACCCGTTTCCATGACAGCCAAATAAAAGACCAAGAAGACATGGGTAGGGGACGGGGTGCTTAGTGGAGGGGTCTTAGAAACATGGGTGGTGGTGGCAGATGAGGGGAGTGTGCAATGAGACGGTGGCCCATGCAGTGGGCACAGGTTGGCATGTGATGATGGGTGTGGAGACAATCGTGGGAGATACAGTATCAATCTTATCAGGATCAATCAACCAGATCACTGCCCCCACCCCCACCCCCATCACACAACCCCAGTTGGTGGCTCCCTTTCAGCAAACATAGGGCAAACTCAGGTAACCAGGCAGCGAGCAGGCACACAGCCACGCTGGAGAGCGTTCCGGTCAACTAAGCGGCAGCTCCTCAAATATTTGCGCTGCCCAGGCCGTGAGCACGGTGGGGTCCTAACAGAGACTGGGGGTGCATTGACAGCATCAAGGTTCACCCCCAGATGAAGATGCTGCACTTCAAAGCCAGAGGCCCTTAGATGCCAACCCCTTCCCTGGACAGAAGGGGACCCAGAGGCCATTTGTCCCACAACCAGCCCACCACCCGCCAGAACTGAGAAATAAACACCAGGCGGGGCCCATGGAAGGCCCTGGGGCTTTGCAACTAGACCGGCCCCAGTCCAGACGTGACTTCCCAGCTGTGTGATCTTAGTCAGGTGTCCCACTTCTCTGCGCCTCAGCTCCCTGTACCAGAGCCCTCCTCTCAGAGCTGTCCTATTCAGAGACCCATACAAAGCCAGGCTCCTGGGCGGACCGCGATCCTTTCTGTGTTCTGTGATCGCTGTCTGCCTCTCTGGACCTCTTCTGATCAAGTCTGGGCCACAGTAGATGCCCCGCCAATGATGCTCCTCCCTTCCTGGGTTCCATACAGGTAAAGAGAACAGGCCTGGTCACACAGTGAGGCAGTGGCACATAGTAGGTGCTCAGCAAGTGCGTGACCCTGCTTCACTTTATTCCTCAGGGGTGAGGATAAGTGCCCGAGTCACCCACCCAGCCAGGGGGCTGACTCCAGAGCTCTATCCTCTGCACCACAGGTAGGAATTGCATGAGGCTCAGCACGTGTGCGGTGGGCAGCACGCAGTGGGTGCTCCGTAAATGCTCATCACAGAGCGACCAGACAGCTCTATTAAGCAAGGGGCCATCAACACAGCCAGCCGGGAAGTGGGGAGCAGATATCAACTGGGGGGTAGAGATCTGCAGGGCATTGAGAACTTGATGGGAACTTAGTGCCTGTGTAGCCAACCGCCCAGCTCGGGGGACCCTAGCCTTGCAGGACACTGGCCCAGGCCCTCCCACCCACCCATTACCTTTCCCTCCAGGGAGAGCTTTGGTTTCCGGAGCAACGTTGCCATTGACATCTTCCTGCCCAAGAGAACAGAGGGAGGGGTGGGCTTAGCCTGGAGATCGTGGTGTGTTTCAGAAGGGAACATTAAGGCCCAGGGAAGAACATTCTCTTGGCCGTGGTCGCTGAGGGCCTCAAGTGGAACCACCACCTCCTTACACACCAGGACTTGCAATGCCCAAATGCATCCTGCCCGCTTTCGTGTCCACTCCTTTACCTACACTGTGCCCTCTGCCTGGAATGCCCTTTCCTCTCCGGCCTACTTTACTACCAGTCGGTGGCTATGGCTTGGTGAGATGTGCCTCCCATAAAGAACACCTGTGCTTCCCATAAAGAACACCAATCCCCCGCTGCCCTGGCCTTCTGGCCTGACCTCTGCACTTGAGCTAAATAACTCCTTCCTCTGGGGGGTACAGCCTAGGAGTGAGCCCACAGGGCAGGGTCGGGGACTCACCTTAAGTCTCTGAGCAAGACCAGTCAGTCTGAAGGCTTCTCTGTACTGCCCTCCCGTCCCCCCAGCGTTTGGACCCGTCTTGGGATGGACCTCACCTGGGGGAAGATCTTGTTCATAGCTTGGGTTCCCAGCTCCAGATGCTGTGGACTCAACAAAGGTTCCCTTCCTCGTCGCCATGGGCAGCCTGGGGGAGGGAGGAGGGGAGGGCTTGTCTGGGCCACACCCTCCCTGTGGCCCTGTGCCGGCCTCCCAGCCTCCCCCGTGACGTTCAAATCTTCATCCACACCTCACAGACAAGGGCCTGAGGGAGAAACTGCCCTCAGCTGGTGCAGCAGGTTGGGGGCATGAGCGTGGCACCCAGGGACTGTCCAGAGACTGCCTGCACACCCATGATTGAGACCGGAAGGTAGCAGGCCTCGACTACATGAAGACCCCTGAAAGCAGAACTCCCCCTGGCCTGACTAGAAGCAAGGCTCACCGTCTCACGAAGCTCCGGTCGTTCAGCAGATCATCTAGGTTGAAAGGATATCTCCATTGCACTCAATAAAGCACACAGGGTTCTAAAAGAATTCTTTGCTGAGCTGATGCGTGAAGTAGGGGAAGGGTGAGAGGGCAATCTACGCACCTCAATAATCCCTCATCCCCGTGAAGTCGGGGTGGGAAGTGGCTGGTGATGTGTGAGTTAGGTTTTGTGTCAAGTTGACTCAGACAGGATTCTTGGTGGTTTGGCAGTTAAAGCCTCCCCTACCCCAACAGTGAAAGGAGATCAGACACAAGGCTGCAATAACAAAAGAGGTTTTATTGTACTAGCTTAAGCCAGGGCTCAAGTCCTCAGGTACTCAACCACGTGCACTGTCTTGGACAAGAGCCCTGAACAAAGAGAGCGCTGCCGTTTATATACACAGGATTCACGGAGCCAGGGCGTCCCCAGCCTGCCCCTCCCACTTCCCGCTGATTGGCTTGTTTGTGGCGGGTTGGCACTTTGGTCCTTTGTGTGGTTCCCGCGCTGGCTATGTTGTCTTCTCATTGGCAGCTTGGCCTGCCGTGTCGCTCCCGGGTTGGCTAGCCTCAGTCCCCCAGGATTTTCCAGCTCTGTACTGTACACAGAACAAGATGAAACCAAGACTTTGCCGGGGTTGCGGAGCCTGCCACGGAGGCAATTTGGCTTTACACCCCCATGATATGACCTCACATAATATAAATCTCTCCCGGGATGGAACCTGCTGTGAGCCACCAAGCAGTGGTGGGAAGATTAGGGTGGAGTGCAACCCCTTTATCAGGGCACAGCCTCAGGATGTGGCCCACTTAGTATATATCAGCAGAGGTGGGGAACGCCCTCCTTCCTTGCTGGTCTGGATTCTGCATCTATCTCAGTGGTCTCTGGTTCTGTGGACTTGAGCCAATGACCTGCTGCCATACTGCCTGCAAACCCTGGGTGCTAGCAGTGGCTTGCTATATTGCCTGCCAACCTTGGATTCATTTGACTCGACCAGCCTAGGGTCTTCCTACTTCCGGTTCATCTTCCTGCTTCTTCTTTTTTTTTTGGTTCTAACAAACAGAAATTTATTTACTCACAATTTATCCTCCTGCTTCTTGATTGACCGCCTTGGCAGCTACATGAGTCAGGAAAACTTCCGGCTTATACCTGACTCACAGACTTGAAATGGACTGAAGTTTACCTACTTCTACAACTGTATGAGCCACTTTCTTGATACAAGGTTCTTTACACATATGCACAGATACACACCTCCCCCCCTCCTCTCTGCCATCAAGTGAGTGCTGACTCACAGCGTCCTCCTGTGGATTTCCAAGGCTGTAACTGTTTGTGGGAGTAGAAAGCCCAGTCTTCTCCCTTGGAGCTGCAGTGGTTTTGAGCTGCTGACCATGCGATCACAGCCCAACACATAACCACTACCCCACCCGGGCTCATATACACATACATGTCCACTTCCACATCCACATCCACATCCACATCCGTGGTTTTGCTTCTCTAGAGAACCCAGCCTAACACAGTTAGTTTCTCCCAAGCCTTCATCCCACTACTGAAGATAGGACCCCGGAGTTTAAGGGACTGTCCAAGGTGCTGGGAACCCAACGGGAAGATGCACGTGTAATGTTTAAAATCCCGGTCCTACACTAGGAACCCCAGTGGTGTATTTGGCTGTTAACCACAAGATCTGTTAACCACAAGATCAGCGAAAGATGAAGCTGTCTGCTCCCGTAAAGATTTAACATCATGGAAACCCGAAGAGATGGTTCTACTCTGTCTTACGGGATCACGATGAGTTGGAATCCACTCAGTGGTGGTGAGTTTCCTTTGGAATTTTTGCCTTCTGCACTATGCCCTTGGGCTGCCTTTTATTTATTGGTCACAGGGGTTTGTTTCTTCCTGGTGAATGCTTGCTCCTATGCTGCCCATTTTTCGTTGAGTGATTAGTCTTTTTCTTACTGGTTTATAAATTTCTTCATATGTGTTGAATTTCAAATTCTTTGTTATGTTGTTCTTATGTGCCATCAAGTTGGTTCTGACTCGCAGTGCCCTTCTGCATGACAGAACAGAACACTGCCCGGTCTGTGCCAGCCTCACTGTTGCCCTAGCTGTGAGTCCACTGTCCAGTCACTGTGTCAGCTCGTCTGGCTGAGGGCTGTGGGAAACGAACGCGGAGGGAAATGTGGCAAGGACGCTATCCCCAACCTGTAACAGGGGACTCTGGAAAGCTAGGATTCCACGGTAGGCAAGCCTCCACTTTGGTAAGTTAAAGTCCAAGTACATTATCCTGCTTTGAATATTCCCACAGATCCTCCTCCCCGTAACATCTGTGCTGCCTTCACGTGAGCACATGGTTGATTGTATCTCTCTGCAGAAGCAGACATCCTGTTGCTATCTCTTCCCGTGGTGTCACCTAGACCCTCTCATACCTTCCCCTGTGCAGGCATTTGGTTTCCTCACCTGTGCGCTCAGGGACCTTAATGTAGATTCCACCCACCTTGAGACGTATGTAACTACTGCATGTGCATGGCTTATGGCTACCTATAAATATCCCAAGACAGTAAAGGCGCTCTCTCTTCTCCTACTTACACTCAGACCACTAAGAGGGGCTGAGGGGAGCATGCTACTATGAAATGTGTCTGACTCCTTTATTTCATTCTCTCTCCTATCTTTCCTATCCTCTGTGACTTTACTATGATCTTTAGATATTGTACAATTGCACCTACTGACCCTTCGGTTGTTGGCGGCAGACTTCCTCTGACAGAGAGCCTTCTTTTCACTGCCCCTCGACTTTACCGAGCACGGTGTCCTTCTCCAGGAACCAGGCTCTACTGATAATATGTCCAATGAAGTCTCCTTAGTCTTGCTTCTAAGAAGCATTTTGGTTGTACTTCTTCTAAGACAGATTTGTTTGTTCTTTTGGCTGTTCTTGGGATTTTCAATATTCTTTACCAGCACCATAATTCAAATGCATCCATGTTTCTTTCATCTTCTTTATACAATGTTCAACCTTCACATGTATATGAGGCGATTGAAAATACCATAGCTTGGGTCCGGTGCACCTTCGTCCTCAGAGTAACATCCTTGCTTTTCACCCCTTTGAAGAGGTCTCATGTTATCTTGGGGTTACCTAATGCAGTGCATCCTTTGATTCCTTGACTGCTGCTTCCATGAGCACTGATTGTGAATCCAAGAAAGATAAAATCTTGATTGACGACTTCAAACGTTTCTATGGATAGTCTTGAGAAAAACGGGAATTCTTACCAAAATAATTACAGGTGCTCATGTGGAACCTGTACATGGTTCAAGAGGTAGTTGTGCGAACAGAGCAAGGGGATACTGTGTGGCTAAAACCTAAGAAAGGTGTGTGTCAGGACTGTGCCCATTCACCCCTTAGTTATGTGGTTATGAACCTCTCCTCCCGATCTGTGTGCTTTGTCACCCATTTAGGGTGATTTCTGCAGGCCCCTCCCTCCTTTCGAAATCCATTCACCTTTCTTTCCCAGGACCAAGTTTAAAACTCACCTCTCTTATGAGGCTCCATGACGCTCTCTCCTCCCCTGAATTTACCTTCTCCTACATGCCTTATCGGACTTCTGAGGGGGGGCGGGGTCACAACCATCAAGTGCTCAGCCACTGACAGAAAGGTTAGCAGTTGGCACCTACCCCAAGGGGCTTCAGAAGACAGGGCGGCCACTCTGCTGCTGAAAGGGTACAGCCTGGAGCACCCTTCAAGTCCGGCTCAGGCACCCAGGCTCACCCAGGGGTTGGCAGCAACTTGACAGCAACGAAGAACCACAAATAGTCATTGTGGTCAGTGGCCCCCGTCTCAGTCCGACGAGGGAGACCTCACTCCCGATGAGATCAGCAAGCCCTAACTTGAGTCAGACAGATGAGGCCTTTCATCCTGATTCTGGCAGATAAACATGTCATTTAATGGGCACGTCACCCTCTCCCTAAGCCTGCGTCTTCATCTGCAGGCTGGGGATAAGAACGTCTAACTCCTGAGGGAGGTCCTGGAGAAGTTGCAGGGAGCACACATTTGTGAAAGTGCTCGGTACCATTCCTGGCTGAGTGCAGCCAGCTGCGCTCAGGCCCTGTCTTCCCTGCCCTTCACCTGGGGCTCTTTGGAAAGGGCATCCATTTTCTGCTTTGCTCGCGGGCAGATCTGTTGGAGACAGAAACCAGATAACTCCGAGAAGCCCATCTGATTTGCCTCCCTTGATTCTTAGCAAACAAAATCCAAATGCCTGCTCTCTCCTTACTCAACAGAGACATCCTGAGCTTGTTCTAAGACGTGAGAAATCTTCTTGCCTGCCTGCTGGCTTGTGGTCGATAACTGCATTCTGTGATTTTACTGAAAACTGAGTTAATGTGAAACATCTATATGTGATTCCCCCCATGTGAATTCCAAAGTAAAAAGTATGTCAGCTCTATATATTCTGCTCTCAAATGGGACTACATCAGGGCAGCCTGTGTTGCTGTCAGTCTCCTTGCTGATGTCGCATCTGAAAAACTTCTCTTTTCCCCTCTAGCTCAGAATTAGTGAATTGGCTCTACTGCCCCAGGGCACAGACACTTATTGGGGGTAAGTGTTGGGTGGGGCTCTCCAGAGAAGCAGTGATG